CACAAGCTGGCCAGTTTAAGGGTTCTTGCCTCTCTGGCCCCGCCCCTCATGAGTCTTTGGGAAGACAACTAGACACAAACCATAACATTCTACCTCGGTACAAAGTCTCATGCACATCCCTTTATCCAAAAGGCACTTTAGTCCATCTCTAAGAGTTGCCAAAGTCCCAACAGTCTACATGTGGCTCTGCACTTATGGCACTTCTGCTGATTGTAGCTCCCATGGCTTCTCTCGCAGGCTGGCTTTGCTCCCTCTCTGAAGTTTCCCATAGGTGACCCACATTCCTGGCTTCTCCAAATTTCTGGGACTTCCACTGAATAGGCTTCTCACTCACAGCTTCACACACTGCCCTCTCGAGGGCACATTGCCTGGCCTCCCAGCCTTCTTCTGGAATCTAGGTGGAAGCCTTCTTAACCTCAAAACTCCTGCATTCTCCATGTGCCTAAAACCAATACCACGTGGATAATGCCAATGTCTGCTGCCAGCTGGAGGACTGGGCAGGCTTTCTTCTCTCTTGGCTGCAGGGGTCAAGTGCCTGGATCTCTGAGTACTCTGACCCTGATACCGAGGAACAAATTCTCTATGCTGGCACCATTCTGTAATCTGGTGTAGCCGCCACCTCCATTCTGGAACCTGGAGTTCTGTGGCTTTCTCCCCAAAGCAAAGTCCCTCACCCATTCTGAGGCTGCAAAGGGTGAGAACCTGCCACATCCTGTGATGCCCTCAGGACATCTTTTCTATTTTCCTGTTCCTCCTGGGCAATGGAGATCTCAGCTCTATCTTTGCAGTCCACAGCTTTATTGCAGCTTCCTTTCTGGCCAGAATCACAACATTTTATGTCATCCTACTGGGCTCTTTGCACTTGATGCTCAACATAAAGCTGACTGCAAGCCCCCAACAACAGTCATGCCACTGCCCCAATATTTGACCGCTTCGAGATTTCCTTTGAAAGATAATCAGGGCTGGTGAGATGTCTCAGTGGTCTAAAGCACCTACTTGGAACAAGCTTGGCAAAGCACAGGGACCGCAGTTCAATCCCCCAGCACCACATGCCAGC